TCACTAGATCAGTCCTCTCTTACTGTCTGAACCCCTTGATAATGAGATATTATCGGATAATACCACAAATTACATCTAATAGAAAGGCACTAGATCAGTCCTCTCTTACTATCTGAACCCCTTGATATTTATCTGATAACACTATCGATATTATCAAAAATCATCCAAAAAACCTAGTTAACTGACTGTATTTCTTGATATCCGATATTTATCTGATATTATAACACTATCAATATCTTCAAAAATTATCCAAAAAACCTAGTTAACTGAATGTATTTGTTGATATCTGATATTTATATGATATTATAACACTATCGATATTATCGATATTTTTAAGGTTTGTTATCGATGTTGACGAAATTAGATACGAGGAAAATATCGACGTAACTATCGGATATTCTGTTGATACTGCGCCTAAATGCGCCAGGCACGCAGCCCCCCGAAACATAATGCTGCATAATGCTGGCCTTAGTCATACTAATCTTCCACTGTATTCACACTCACACTCACTACCTCTACTTTAATTATTTGCCATCCATCACTGCTCACATGTAGATTTTTACGGAGGGAAGAAAACCAGTCTACCTGGAGAAAATCCTCTTGCAAGGAGAAGAACAACCACCTGTAAATCAAATGGTGTGACATCAAAGGTGACGTATAACTATTAAGAATTGGCTATACCCCTTTTAGTTTTGACTCTGTTGATCAAACAAACTCATATCAGCACCTAATGATAAACTTCGTGCTACCTGTTTATCATAGCGTGTGACGTCACTGATAATAATAATAATTTTTAATGAGGATCTAGGGATCCTAAAATAAATATCTACAAGTTAATAAAGATATAAAGATTGAAGCATGCTTAAGTTTACAATTAGAAACATGATAAAAAGAAGAAAGTGAGAATTTATAAAAAAATACCTTTAAGAGATTTTTTGAAACTTTTAAAACTACTATTATTCATAAAGTCAGATGATTGTTCATTATACTCCATTGAAGATTAAT